GGGACCACCGCTGTCTGAAAAGGAAACTGGAATCATAGAGGCAATGAATCGCGAAGGACACTCAAATCGAGCAATAGGACGATTTCTGAACCGAACACCAACGTTAACCGGATCCTATCTGTCTGATCCTCTACAATACGCAACAAAAAAGTCGACTGCTCGAAAACCTTTCGTTTCTGAGCGAGATATGAGACACATTTGCGGAGAAGCATCCAACTCTACGCCTTCCTGCTCAGATATCAAGGCGAATCTCAAGCTCAAAGTGTCAAGCGAAACAGTCCGTCGAGTGCTAAAGAAAAGCGATTTTATTGTGCGAAGGAAGATGCGTAAAGCATCGTTTATGACGCAAGATCATTGCAAGAAAAGACTAGAATTCGCCGACAAAAACAGAAAAATTGACTGGAGTAAGGTGGGTGTGATTACTTGGCTGATGGAAAGTTATTATTATGTTTAGGTCGTGTGGTCGGGTGAGAAGAAATTTAACTGTGATGGGCCTGATAGAAACCGCAGTTATTGGCATGATTTAAGAAAGGAAATGATTAGCTTTTCGCGACAAAACTTCAAAGGAGGTGGTGTGATACTGAAATCGAGATCAACGGTGGCAGAGGTCTTGCTTGAAATCTCGAAGGCTTGCTGAAAAAAAGCGATTAACGTTTTGTTGAAAATGTTTACTCGATAAAATTTTCGATCTTCTTTGATCTCCATCGTCGGTGCGTAGAAACAAAAGCCGGGCGGGGTATAGTAAACAATGAAGATACACATTGTGCCCAAAAAGTGATTTGTGAGCGTAAAAGAAACACGACCGTCGTCCCGGATTCCGTGATGTTTTGCTTCATAGGAAACTCAAAAATTTGGCAATGATTACCAGTAAAAGTTGTTTTTGTACGAGAGTTTAAAAATAAAACCTTACACTCGACTTGTATATGTCGAAGGCTTCGATTTCGATTCTCGAAAACAAACTGCGATCCGGTGTAAATGCCTTGAATTCGTTTCTCGGCCACGTCATCATCGACAGTAATGCCTAAAAGCTGGATGCTTTTGTTTTGCTTTCGTTGCGTAAAAACTCTTGACGACCACTTTAGCTTGATCTTTAGCTACATTAGCTTGATCAATTTGCATTTGACAAGTCACAAGTACGTAATTCTACGTATTTCAAAAATTCAGCTCTTTTTTCGATCCGAACAACGAGGTCCTCCTCGAGGTCCGATCGGTCTACCAAGACCTTTCAGTCCAAAATCTAGCCTGTACCCCCGGCCAAACCGAAACCAGTGTTTGCTGAGACTAGGCTAACCTCGCCTGATTCAATTGTGTCTGTCAGTACTGCTGGAATGAGTGAGTTCAGTTCTATCACTGAACTGATGTTTACTGAACTGATGAACAGGTTCTGGAGACACATGCTAAAGATAAGCTTGCTAAAGACACATGCTAACGAGCTAACGATAAGGCCAGGAGCTCTGGCAATGGGCACAGGCTAGTTCTAGCGAAAAAGCCTCGTATAGTTAGCGCTAATTCCCCATTGATAAGCCTAACAAGGGGAAGGCACCCGGTCAAGGTGGCCTTTCAAAAAGAGACCTAGTGTACCAGATAGAACTTTTTACGCTGATTCCGATCCGTATTTAAGTTTTTCCCGTGCCGCCCTGTAACGTGAGATATTTGGCTTACCAAAATTGACCCGGATTCGCCTATGTTTAAAACCTTGCTTTATCGTCCTATCTTTAATGTGAGCTCGTGGCGCAGTGGATAGTGAGCTGCCGATAGTGGATGTCCTCACGGTTCTTTACCTCGGGTTCAAATTCCCACACTGACAATTTTTTTAGTTTTTGCGAAAGAAGACATTATGGACATTACAATAGGCTTTTAAACATAGGCGAATCGGGGTGGTCAGTTTTTTTATGCCAATGTATCTCGCGTTACAGTGCCCCACTGGAAAAACTAAAACCGGATTTGGAATCAGCGTAGAAACTTCTATCTGGTACACTAGGTCTCGTTTTGAAAGGCCACCTTGATCTGGTGCCTTTCCCTCGTAAGCTTTAACGAGATAACAAAAAGATTTATAAATTTTACCCGAGCGGTGACTAGTTAAAGAGAGATCTCTGAATTGAACACTCAGTCGGCGTCGAGATCGAGAGCGATTTCTTGTCACTTTTTAAGACTAAATGCTAAAGAAATGAAAATACTTTTTGAAAACTTTGCTTCTTGTTTTGGTGACAGACGGAAAGCGAAGCGAATTTCGACTCTTGCCCGCATTCCGAGCATTTGAAAGGCATCCTTTCAATTAAAATTATTTAAGTTTAAGTTAAAGAAAAAGAAATTAAATCATTTTCAGTTTTCAAATTGTTTTAGAATTTTTGAAAAGAAGAACTTTTGGCTGGCTGTAAAATGTGACAGATCTTAGGCGACGAAATGAAAAAGTGTTATCAGTTTTGTGTTGCACTTTCGACTCTTTTATTTGGCCCTGTGAGATGCAAGAAAAGAAAAAAGTATTTGTAAAATAAAAAAGAAAAAATTGCGAAATACTACAGTGCGTTGCAAAATGATAGGACCACTCTCGATTTTTGCGATTTTTGATTTTAAATAACTAAAAATGCGAAATGATGCTTAAATTTGAATTTTATCTACAAAAGTACGCCCCGTTTGCCAAATAATTTACTTTAAAAGGGAAAATTCTTTAAGCATTTATTTATTTTGCACCTGTTGCAAAATGATAGGATCACTACGTTTCTTTTGATTTTCTACCTGTAATAACCATGTTTTTTGCTTACTTTTTGCTAATTTTTATTTTTTAGAAAGATGGGGCGTGGAAAATCGCTTTCGGGGATTGAACAGATGAAAATTGTGTTTTTTGAAAGGAATAAAATTGTAGAATCGGAAGCTCGCAAAGAAAATGAAGCGCTCGCACCAAGTTGTCGCAAATTTCTTGAAAGATCCTTTTAATTATGGCAAGAAGAAGTCTCCGGGATGTCATCGAAAGCTCACGGTTCGCGCTGAACGGCATATGGGACGTCTGTTTTCGAATTCGGTGATGTCGCTACAGGAGGTCAAGGTACAAATTGGAGCTCCCGTCCACAAAAGCACTCTTTCTCGAGCCATCAAGTGTTACATCCGTTACATCAAAAGAGCATGAAGAAAGCACCAAAACTGAAGCCGGCACACAAAGAAAAAAGGATGTCTTGGGCTCGGGATCACATCCCCATCGATTGGAAAAAAGTAAGCTTTTTACCTTGAGTTGTTAACTATTTTTTTTTCTTTGTAGGTCATCTTCAGCGATGAGAAAAAATTTAATTTGGATGGTTCCGACGGCAACTAGTACTATTGGCACGATTTGAGAAAAGATCCAATGCTTTGTGGGCGTCGAAACTTCGGAGGAGGATCACTGATCATATGGGTGCTTTCAATGTGGATGACGTTCTTGATTTAGAATTTGTGACTTGTCGCATGAACTCGAACAATTACCAGAATGTCCTTGCGGATCAACTACTTCCTTTCCTAGCACAAAATCGAGGGAAACACTATATTTTTCAATAGGATAATGCTTCAATTCATGTCAGCCAATCCACTAAAGCTTTTCTGCAACGTCACAACATCGATTTTCTCGAATGGTCTGCCTGCTCACCGGACTTAAACTCAATGGAAAACTTATGGGGCATCCTTGTGAGGAATATTTATGCTAATGGAAAGACTTACGACACGATTTCGCAACTCAAAAAAGCAATTTTGCAAGCTTGGACGTCAATTCCAGCATAAACGCCTCAAAACTTAGTGAACTCGATGAAAAGTCGACTACTCGACGTCATCGAGAAAAAGGGAGCATCTATTGATTATTAATGAACTTTTCATTCGTTTTTCTTTTGTTGATTCTCAAATTTATTGTTATTTTTTATGTGGTCCTATCATTTCGCAACAGGTGTTAAATAAAGAAAATGTTATAATCTTGTTGCAATTTGTTTAGATAATGTTAAAAATGGTATAGATGCCTATTTTTGTATATATTTTTAAGATTTAAAAGCTATTTCGCTTTACTAAATTTCATAGCCAAAAAATGCAAAATTTAGGGGTGGTCCTTTCATTTTGCAACGCACCTTATAATGCCTCAGAAACTAAAGTTTAACAAACTTTTCTTTTTTTCTATTCACAAATTTTTTTCAATTGGACAGTAGGAATGCATTTAGCCCTTTAAATTGCAAAGAGCATTCTTTGCTCATAAGAAAAAAAACATAAGAAAAGTTTGTTAAACTCTAGTTTCTGATGCATTATAGTATTTCGCAATCTTTTCTTTTTTATTTTACAAATACTTTTTTCTTTTCTTGCATCTCACAGGGCCAAATAAAAGAGTCGAAAGTGCAACACAAAACTGATAACACTTTTTCATTTCGTCGCCTAAGATCTGTCACATTTTACAGCCAGCCAAAAGTTCTTCTTTTCAAAAATTCTAGAACAATTTGAAAACTGAAAATGATTTAATTTCTTTTTCTTTAACTTAAACTTAAATAATTTTAATTAAAAGGATGCCTTTCAAATGCTCGGAATGCGGGCAAGAGTCGAAATTCGCTTCGCTTTCCGTCTGTCATCAAAACAAGAAGCAAAGTTTTCAAAAAGTATTGTTATTTCTTTAGCATTTAGTCTTAAAAACCGAAAAAAAAATGTCAATAGGTGTGCAAGGGAAAATCGGGTTTCATCGCTTTAATGTTAGATTTTTGTAGAATTTATGAAAAAGTAGAATTTGAGCATGAAAAAGTTTCACCTTCACTTTTCATCTATTGATGTTTTTTTTCGGATTAGTACACTGTATGATTGTACATGAAAGTACAATGTATCATTGTACATGAAAGTACACTGTATTGTACATGAAAGTACAATGTATCATTGCACATCAAAGTATACTGTATCATTGTTTACATTTACTAAAAGTGCTTTAGCTTAAAGAATTGCTCGTGTGCAAGAGTTGTGAGAAGAAAGCACAGCACAAGATTTGCATTCAGCATCATGAGGCGGCGAAAACAATGGTTTGTCTTATGAATTCGATTCAACGAGAATCTTTGTCTTGTTAACTAAAATTTAGCTAAATAAAAATCATTTTAAAACCTTTTTATCAAAAAAACTCAGAATTAACATTAACAAATCTATTCTTTAGATTACTTTCAAGAAAAAAAACATGTGCAAATGTCCCAAGTACTGAAAAAAAAGAATATAATAAGGGCTCCCCCAAAAATTTAAGCGTTCTCTGACAAAATTGTGTTGCGTTTTAAAGTTTAATTATTTGAAAATTCCGAATAATGAACAAGAAGGTTTTATGTTATGTTTTAATTGCTTTAAATTGTTTCAGGGTGATGCTTTCGATCGAAAAGTCGAGCAGATCACCTGCGACGAGTTGCCCGAGATACGTGAAGAGCTTTACGAGTTTGGAAAGAAACTCAACGATAAAGTCAATGTTTGTCAATGATTTGGTGCAATTTTCATGCAAAATTTTAGTTAATTCGTGCACGCAACAAAGAGATGTGGGATGAGATTTATGGGAAAACGGGAAACATCGAATATGCGATGAATTTACTCGAGAGAACATTGGATGTCGATGAAGAGGTTCAGCAAGTGAAAGAGCTATTGAAGAAGATCGAGAAGAAATTGAAACAAGAGGTGGGTTTGTTACTGAATTGGAAATAGTTCCTGCGCTGTTGTAGAAGATTCAGATCAAGCACCATAATCTCGCCATTTTGTAGATGAGTGGCTCAGATTTTCAACACCAGCCACCGTAATCTCGTAGCCTACCGTAGTCCAATCATGCTCGTCATCTTCTGCGCCAGTTACCATGATCCTCTACTATTAGTCCAGATTAAACTACCGTAATCCCGAGCAAGCTCTTGTCTTTAACTACTGTAATCCTGTAGTGTAGGTGGTTACCATACTGCAGCAATCTTTTCACGATCAGCTACCGTACTCCATAGATTTTTATCAGCTAATTCCCCAATCCAGGTCAAGCTACCGTAATCCCACCTACATCCAATCAGTGATTATCTATGATTTTTAGATAACTAGCAATCAAAACGTTAATCGAACCATGTCATCAGCGTCATTCGAAGAGATGAATGGGAGCTCGGTGGAATTGATACCAGGTGAGGAAATTAAAGAATGAAACAAGTTGATAGCTTCAAAATACTTGAGAAAAAAGTTTTGTACTTGAAGATGACTACATCCCACCGCCACCCTATGAAGAGGCTGACTGCGATTTGGTGAACAGGTCGTCTCCAGAATCGGCAAATCCTTTGAGACCGTGAGTTTAGAAATCATCCGTTAATCGAAAAATTTATAAAACAATAGACTTGAAACTTTCTTTTAATAATAGGATCGGATTGTTCTGATAATCTTTTTTGATCATTTGATCGGATCCGTTTCCTTGATAAAGTCCTGGATCAGCTCTGTTATGAATTCGATTCTACCCGATCCCTGCCTACTAAGCAATTTTAGTTTTTGAAGAATATTCAGCTGGTTACAGTGATGGATACTTTCAATCAGACTTTGAAATAAAACCATGTCCGGTACTGTAGCTTTTACACTATAGTAGTGCACTGTAGAAGCTTTTGGATAAAAGTTTTCCGCAAATAACACCCATCTAGAATATTAAATATTAAAATTGATATTGAGATCTATCTAGGATATTGAAAAGGGATGGCTACTCTGTGCCGGTGGAGGAGAACATTGATCGTCGCTCGCGCCCAGTGACAAGAAATCGCTCTCGATCTCGACGCCGACCGAGTGTTCAATTCAGAGATCTCTCTTTAACTAGTCACCGCTCGGGTAAAATTTATAAATCTTTTTGTTATCTCGTTAAAGCTTACGAAGGAAAGGCACTAGGTCAAGGTGGCCTTTCAAAACGAGACCTAGTGTACCAGATAGAAGTTTCTACGCTGATTCCAAATCCGGTTTTAGTTTTTCCAGTGGGGCACTGTAACGCGAGATATTTGGCATACAAAAACTGACCCCGAGCCGCCTATGTTTAAAAGCCTATTGTAGTGTTCATAATGTCTTCTTTCGCAAAAACTAAAAAATTGTCAGTATGGGAATTTGAACCCAAGGTTAAAAAAATCGTGAGGATATGCACTGTCGCTAGTCCACTATCCACTGCGCCATGAGTTCAAATTCGCGGGACGATAAAGAAAACTTTTAAACATAGGCGAATCCGGGTCAATTTTGGTAAGCCAAATATCTCACGTTACAGGGCGGCACTGGAAAAACTAAAATCGGATCGGAATCAGCGTAAAAAGTTTTATCTGGTACACTAGGTCTCTTTTTGAAAGGCCACCTTGACCTGGTGCCTTTCCCTTGTTAGGCTTATCAGTGGGGAATTAGCGCTAACAATACGAGGCTTTTTCGCTAAAACTAGCCTGTGCCCATTGCCAGAGCTCCTGGTCTTATCGTTAGCATGTGTCTTTAGCAAGCTTATCTTTAGCATGTGTCTCCAGAACCTGTTCAGGTCCAGGTTTAGCTTAGATCTAGACCTAAACATCAGTTCAGTTATAGAACTGAACTCACTCATTCCAGCAGTACTGACAAACACAATTGGATCAAGCGAGGTTAGCCTAGTCTCAGCAAACACTGGGTCCGGTTTGGCCGGGGGTACAGGCTAGATTTTGGACTGAATCGGTGAAGGTCTTGGTCGATCGATCGGACCTCGAGGAGGACCACGTTGTTCGGAACGAAAAGAGCTGAATTTTTGAAATACACTGCTCCACAAAATGATATGGACACTTACTTTTTTCAAATTTTATGCTCTTAAGAAACGATAGTGAAAAAAGTTGTTTTATAGTATTTTCCTTATTAGATTTGCTATTGAAGCACGTTAGATATACTACCATAGTTTGGAATATGAATGTTTAAAAATTGAATTTTGTAAAAAATGCCCTTTGGCGCTTTCCACATAATGATATGGACACTACATAAAATTTTTTATTTAGTAACAAAAAAATGATTTTAAAAAAGAACAACAACATTTAATAATCAATAGGACCTCCATTGTTTCGAATCAATTCAAAAATTCGATTATCCATGCTGGCCACAAGTTTATCGATCAGATTTTGGTCTACTTTTCTCTAGGCATCAATTATTACAGATTTCAGAGAAGGCATGTCTTTATAAGTCTTGTTTCCTGCGTAAATGTGACATACCATGAATCCCCATACACTTTCTTGCACATTCAAGTCGGGAGAATTGATAGGCCAGTCGAGGAGACGAACTTGCTTCCGTTATAGCCATCTTTTAGTGCTTTGGCTTGCATGTATTGGAGCATTGTCCTGAACGAAAATGTGATTTTGGCCTTGATTCCGACGCCAAAACAGAAGAGGTGATTGCCGCAAGATAAATTGATACTGGGCTGAATTCATACGCTTTAGGACAAATGCCAGTTTTATTCGGACAGATGAAGCAATTGCTACCCATACCATCACACCACCTCCTTTGAAGTTTTGTCGCGAAAAGCTAATCATTTCCTTTCTTAAATCATGCCAATAACTGCGGTTTCTATCAGGCCCATCACAGTTAAATTTCTTCTCACCCGACCACACGACCTAAACATAATAATAACTTTCCATCAGCCAAGTAATCACACCCACCTTACTCCAGTCAATTTTTCTGTTTTTGTCGGCGAATTCTAGTCTTTTCTTGCAATGATCTTGCGTCATAAACGATGCTTTACGCATCTTCCTTCGCACAATAAAATCGCTTTTCTTTAGCACTCGACGGACTGTTTCGCTTGACACTTTGAGCTTGAGATTCGCCTTGATATCTGAGCAGGAAGGCGTAGAGTTGGATGCTTCTCCGCAAATGTGTCTCATATCTCGCTCAGAAACGAAAGGTTTTCGAGCAGTCGACTTTTTTGTTGCGTATTGTAGAGGATCAGACAGATAGGATCCGGTTAACGTTGGTGTTCGGTTCAGAAATCGTCCTATTGCTCGATTTGAGTGTCCTTCGCGATTCATTGCCTCTATGATTCCAGTTTCCTTTTCAGACAGCGGTGGTCCCCCTGGCATTTTTTCAGAGTACCTTAAAGAAATGATTTTTGAGCAAAAAGAGCTAAATTATCTGAAAAAAAAAAAAAAAAGGGCGAAAAACAAAGTGTCCATATCATTATGTGGAAAGCGCCAAAGGGCATTTTTTACAAAATTCAATTTTTAAACATTCATATTCCAAACTATGGTAGTATATCTAACGTGCTTCAATAGCAAATCTAATAAGGAAAATACTATAAAACAACTTTTTTCACTATCGTTTCTTAAGAGCATAAAATTGGTAAAAAAGTAAGTGTCCATATCATTTTGTGGGAGCAGTGTATGTAGAATTACGAACTTGTGACTTTGTCAAATGCAAATTGATCAGGCTAATGTAGCTAAAGATCAAGCTAAAGTGATCGTCAAGAGTTTTTACGCAACGAAAGCAGAACAAAAGCATCTAGATTTTAGGCATTACTGTCGATGATGAGGTGGCTGAGAAACGAATTCAAGGCATTTACACCGGACCGCAGTTTGTTTTCGAGAATCGAAATCGAAGCCTTCGACATATACAAGTCGAGTGTAAGGTTTTATTTTTAAACTCTTGTACAAAGTCAACTTTTAATGGTAAGCATTGCCAAATTTTTAGTTTCCTATGAAGCAAAACGTCACGGAATCCGGGACGACGGCCGTGTTTCTTGTACGCTCACAAATCACTCTTTGGGCACAATGTGTATCTTCATTCTTTACTATTCCCCGTTCGGCATTCGTTTCTACGCGCCGACGATGGAGATCAAAGAAGATCGAAAACCTTATCGAGTAAACATTTTCAACAAAACGTTAATCGCTTTTTTCAGCAAGCCTTCGAGATTTCAAGCAAGACCTCTGCCACCGTTGATCTCGATTTCAGTAAAGCACTCGGCATTTTAGATGCCTGGACTTGTGTAAGCCAATTGTTTTTCGAAAGTTAAAGGAATTTATAAAAAATTTTAGAAAAAGAAGCTGGTTATTATCCATTTATTCGAATGAAAGCACTAGGACAGATGAAAGACGACGGGCAACATGACTGGCAGGAATGGACGATTCGATTCGATCGCCGCGAGAACAAGTCGGGCTTTTACACTATCGGATACGCATTCCCTGGCTCATTACAGTATCTTGAAATCGTGAATATCAATGCCAACAAAAGATACCTTTCATACGCTTCGTAAGGGAAGGCCACAAGGCTGAGGTGGACAGATAAAATGAGTCATATGACGCAGAATTTTACGCTGATTCCAATGTTCCAAGAAAAACGTGTGCTAATTTTGTGTTATTTTGTTTGCTATCAAGGTGTCATAGTAGACGTCATAATAACTATAAAAGATGTCATAATAGTTGTTGTAAAGTTAAAATCGAGCGATTTCAAGCGGTTAAACATCAAAATAAAATGAACAGAAAAGGATGGAACCCGAGCGAAATCTCGGTCTACTGTTTTGGAAACAAGAACCACCCCTTGTGGTATCCACAATACCACAAGCGCACATTTGAAGGCAGTGAAAAAAGCGTTCAATAGGGTCTAGATTTTAGAAGCAAATCAAACGCAAATCAAACGCAAATCAAAAGAAAATCAAAACCAAATCAATAGCAAATCCTTTTTTCAGATGGTTCCCCCGATTCGATCGCGATCCTCCAAGAGATAATGTCGATTATAGAAAATAAAAACAAAAACTTTACTAAGTACATTGTATTTTATCAAAAAACTTTTTGTTTATTAAAGAGATAATTTTATAATGCTATGCTATCTATTTTATTATGGAAACGAATAAATTATAAATATAAATAAATATTTAATCAATTTTGTCGATAACCGTATAAATTCGGATTTTCAATGGAGAATTCTTGGAGAAATTCGGCCTGACCACAATGTTCGGTGTCGACAATTGCTTTCCCGGGGTGATCCATCGGAAATTCGAAACCGAATTCAATGATTTCACGTTAGAATCTACACCGTCAACTCCTGGCAAAATCCATCGAAAATTTCGATGACTTTTCGATCTCTTTGGAGATTTTCCGATAAAGTAAGGACTCCTTGCATAAGCATTTGACTCATTTTTACGTATTTCGTAATGTTTTTTGTGAGTTAGAATCTCCGGGCAAGATTTGCGACTTAATCTCAATCAGATTTCGTTCATTTGCAGCTTTCTCAACAAGATTTCGTTTATTCGTAGCGTTAAAGTGTGAATCTTGGAGTACGGTCGGGTTTTACGGAAGTCGATCTTCCAGCAAGCATTCGCTGATTCTTAACCTGTAGCTTATTTAGCTGTACGGTAGTTTTTGATCTTCCAGTCATCAACTGATTCTTAAGCCCTGAATCATCTGAGATTACGGTAGCTGAGGTACTAGGTTTTATTCTAACAAAGCGTTGATTATCATTGGAAAAATTCCTAGCCACGGTATTTCCGGGTTTTCGGCGAACAAAGTGATTTGGAAGGGTGAATCGACTCCATCTGGGTGTTGTTGTAGATTTTGTGACCGGTGAAAGAGCCCGAAATTCCGAAGTTACTGTAGTTCTACTGGTAGTTGAGCTAGCAGTAACTGTAGCTGTTGCACTTGTAGTAGTTAGTATGACAGGAGTTTTAGAAATAGCAGATACTGTTGCTCTTAGACTCTTTAAAGGAAACGCTGTTTTAACAATTGGTGATACCGTAGTCATCTCTGGCTTTCTTCGAATGAAACTCGTCGGAAACACCATTCGACCCCAGCCCGCCCTTGTCGACAATACGGTAGGATATGGAGTAGTGGAGATAATTCGGGTTGCTGTAGCTTTAGTAACAGCTAAGCCAGCTAAGGTTCGGGGTACTGTAGTTGTATCTGGGAGCATAGTGCTTGTAGCTTTGGATACTGTAGTTGTAGAAGCAGTTGCATCAATTCGGGGTACTGTAGCTGTAGCTGACCTTTTCAACATGGCTTTGGGTACTGTAGCAGAAGCTGAGCCAGTTCGCGGTACTGTGGTTGTAGTCAAGATGGTTTTTTAAAATACAATATATCTAATGATATTCAAGCTTTAGAATATATACGGTATAATATTTTATCAATATGAAGCTTTTTGGTACTTTTCGTTACCACGATAATCACTCGTTTCTTATGATCGGTTAGCTTTTCTGTGCTGATTATGGTAACAAAATGAAGCTAGAATATCGAATGTTAAGCACTAATCAGCAATATAACCAATTCAAGCTATTCATTTGATTAGTATTTCAATTACTGAGTAGCGAATAGTTAAATAGTTGAAGACCGTATTTTCTCTAATAGTAGTGCACCCTGAGCGTTGCCTAAATTGGTCGAAATCTGGTAGATTGATGATCTTGAAGTTGAGTACGACTTGTGTAGCAAACGATTTGGATCCTAGCTTCGGACCGAGGTGTCGACTTCGCCAGGCTCTTCGCCGTCAGCTTCTGCTACAGATGTTGCTCCAGTCGAGTCAGGCTTTCCTGCACATTCGCATCTTGGCAGAGAAATGTATCGAGTAAAACAAAATTAAGAACACAACACAACTTCGCTATAAACTAAATTACGCTATTGAAAATTGTCCAGAATGAAAATTTGTCAAAAAGTTTCTCCCTTTTAAACACGATTAACCACGAACTAGCCCTTGGCGGGTTACGGTAAACAGCTTATAAGAAAAATACCATTTTTCTATTCTCAAATTTTGTCAATTGGACAGCAGGAATGCTTTTAACCCTTTAGATTTTAAAGTAAAATTTCGAAAGTGAAGGATTCAAAGCAGTTAGTTTTATGTTTTAGGTTTTTGTTTTTGTTTTTAAACTCTTGACATCAAATTAGCATCGATTTGTTTATCAAGATCTCAAAAATTCATAAGTCCATAAAAAGCCATCGATTTCTCCACAAAAATCCACAAGTCTAGACATTTTTTTTTTGCAAGAAATTAACAAAAATCAAATCGTCTATCGGTTTAGAGCCATTTGTGAATATTTTCCCGTTAGATCTGATCGATTTTTGATCACGTTTCTTACTATTAAAGTTTTTAAATCTCATTATTTTCTAGTTTAAATTATTCAATCGAATTTCCCTGAATATCTTTTCTCTCATTCATTTTTTTGATCATAGCATGCCTCGGGTGTGAATGTGAATTCGAGAAAAAAAAATCTCATTTTCTTGAGAGTGTTTCTTTCTTTTGTTTAGTAGAGAATGAGATGGGCATATAATTCTCAAACTTTTACTTTATAATTATTAGGTTATAAGGGCATAAGTCTTTACTATTTAAACTATTAAAAAGCTTAATATTTTCTTTGCAAAATGTTCTCTAGGGAATTCTTGAAAGTAGTTGTTTTTGTGGATTTTCAAAAGGCTTAAAGACGAGCACTTGGAAACTGCTACGGTGCCGAAAAGGTCGCAATTTGGACACTTTCTTCAATGCAAACCGATTTTGATGCTAAAGTAAAAAAGATAGAGCTTATTGTGATTATATAAGTCTGTAAAATTTGAAAAACGATTTGCTTAGTTATTTTCTTTCAAACAGCGATTGAAAATTTTACATAAAAATGGGTTTTTACCGAGTTAAGAAAGCTTTGAGCTTTCTGAATGAAGAATTTTTGGTTTTTATATACTTTGTGCTTAAGCGCTTCCAACAAAAGATCCTTTTAGTGCACTGGTTTGCGTTACTGAGACAAAATGACCGCAAATTTAGAACATCAATAAACTATTGCCTTCGTTTTTTTCAGTATGTACTGTGCTTCGTGCTATAACTGTCCAAACACACAATCTGGCGCGCTGAATTCATCATTTATCTTGCAGAAACAAAGGATGTTTGTGCAAGAAAAATGTTGCCTTATTAGTACTTTAGAAGAGATTAAGTATGCCAGAAAGGGAGCGTTTGTTGAAACAAAAAGCATTGACAGTGTTGTGCTCTAATTGAATGCACCTTTCTGATGCACGAAATTCCATCGTTTCTTGCCCTAGCGGCTTTTATATCACAAGAAAATGAAGGATTTGATGCGCTAGAAAGGGTGCGTTCACATTTTTTAAGCATACAAAGAAGCTTTGTTTAAGACAAAACGCCTTTGCTAAAAAAATTGTTAGAAAAATTTATTCTCAAGGTGATCAAGGTGATTAATCGAAACTCTGCATTTGTTTCTTTTTCAATATTCTGTTTACAAACGATTATTGAGATGTTTTGGCTGTTGTTTCTCGATTTTCTGACAACTCGAATACTGGCGGTTTCCACTTCCAATCGAGCAATTGAGATATGTGGCAGTGGTTTGTGTTTACTTTCATTATTGCAGAGAATTTTCTGAGAAAAGTAGGTTAGTTACCTTTTAGTCAATGTTGCTCAAAATTAATCAATTTTCCGGAATAAGCCAGATAAGGATTAAAAACTTGTTTTATCCTGACTTTTCTTGACTGCAGTACCAAAAAGTTGCTCGGCCCGGTTTATGATCGGGCCTGACTTACGTCTAGGGATCGATTGTGAACTTATTTTAATGACAAGATAATTAGATAAAAATGCACAAAAAATTCATGAGATTTAATCTAAAGACAGGGAAAAACAAAAAAAGAAAGTGTTGAGCTCATCTTTATCATTGCCCTTGCACAGCTACCGTATTCTCTCTAATACTAATGCACACCGCCAAGCCGAGTTGATCACTCATTTTACGGCTTCTAAGTTTTTCACAGAAGCTCAACACTCAAAATCCCCCGGACAAGATCTCATCGTCAGCTATATTTTCCGACCGCACATTGATAGGTTCTTATAAGCGCTGGGGGAGATTTCGAGCAATTTAGGTGGGGCGAAAATACGGCATAGAGTTGAAAGCCAACGACTTCTTCACATTTGCTTTAAAAAGTACCTTTCACAAAAAGCCAGAGGGAAACAAAAGTAAAAGAAAATCCACATTTCGGAAATAAATTTGATAGGATTATAAAGAATTTTTTTCAAAAAAGCGAAAAAGTTGTAGGCAGAGCTTTTGGGATACAAAATGAGAAGCAAAAAGCAGGGAGCTAAACTTGATGATGACTATTTTACGCCTGGCCGAGCCGAGTTGATGATTATTTTACAGTTCTGCGTGTTTTCGCAAGAAGCTCAACACTCTAATCCCCCACAAGATCTCATCGTCAGCTACATTTTCCGACCCCACATCGATAGGTTCTGATAAGCGCTTTTCGAGATTTCGACCAATTTAGGCAACGATCAGGGTGCACTACTATTAAAGAGAATACGGTCTTCAACTATTTAACTATTCGCTAATCAGTAATTGAAATGCTAGTCCAATGAATAGCCTGAAGTGGCTATATTGCTGATTAGTGCTTAACATTCGATATTCTAGCTTCATTTTGTTACCATAATTAGCACAGAGAAGCTAGTCGATTAGAAAAGAGTGATTATCGTGATAACGAAAAGTACCAAAAAGCTTCATATTGATAAAATATTATACCGTATATATTCTAAAACTTGAATATCATTAGATATATTGTATTTTAAAAAAACCTGGGATCTTTTCCTTTAGCTATTTTCGTCATGGTGAGCGCGGTCCGCTTTTCGATTTCTCTAGCAACAAAGCTCGAAGTCATTTCAAGAACAAAACAGGCCAATTGACAGAGGTAAGATAATAAATTCGTTAAAGATAATAAATAAAACAGAATTTGACTTGAAATGTAAAAATTTCTATTTAAAATCTTTAGAAAGGGAAGCAACAAGC